CCTAAGGAAAAGGCCGAAGAACTTGAAAAAAATCTCCAGAATATTAGTAAATCTTTCAGGAACAGAACACGCCAAACATTTGAAGAAAAATTCCTCAATAANCGTTGTTCCACTCAGAGTTCTAAACCAATATTTTTTTTTTCAATCTGAAAACTTCAGAAATGAATCATTTTTGAAATTTCGATGAAGTTTGCAATAAGGATTACAATTTATAAAACACTTAGCCATTGACTCATATCAATAGCATTGTGCAGTATCAAAAATTATTCATTTCTGACAATCAAGTTCAGTCAGACTTATGGTTGCAATGTCAATAAAAATGCATCATCAAAATTCATATGGAATTTTTTTCACAGCATATAAGCTGATTTCTCAAAAATTGCTTACAATGTTGATTGATTATTGATTGGAATATTGCTAAAAGGTACAAATCAAAATCGAAAAAGATTTTTTTTTCTCTGTACACATAGCCAATTTCTCAAAACTTACTTCAATATTTTTTTGGAATATCAATAAGAATAAGACATTAAACTATATAAAGATTGATTTAACCGCAATTTCTTAGAAATTGATCTAATCAGGGCTCTAAAAACCGCCCGTCCGCCCATTCTCGGCGATCAAAAATTCCCCGCGGAAAACGAATTTCTCGAATCCGACGTCCGCGCTGACGGCCATTTTCCCGTTAATGTTCGTGATACTTTTTCAATTTTTGTTATTAGAATTGATGTTTTCTCTGTCTGGGAGTACTGCAGTGGTTGAAGGGGCTTTTAAGCAATGAACTTACAAAAAAACACATTGTGCAATGGTCTTAAACAAGAAGCGTTAAACGCAATTATGAACAAAAACATAAATGGAAAACCCCTTTCAGATTTCTGTGCAGAAACCTCTGTAAATCATTGGCTCGATTGTGGAACTGGCAAACGTCATATTTGATTCATTTAAGAAACGCAGTACCCTCGGATAAATTGACTTTCCAGATAACTTGACCTTTGTCATTTAAATTATTTCATAAAAGAAATAAGCTATTTCATAAAAGAAATACTAGGTTACTATTAGTAACCTAGTATTTCCTTTATTACTGTATAATATAATCCTAGTACTTGCAATCCTAGTAACTACTAATTCATTGTGCAATTTATATAAATGTTTTCAATAAATAAGAGAAAATTATATTTTTATTTATTTCGAAGCTACGGGTTAGTTTCAAAGGAGGAGGGTACATTGTTGAACAAGCCGTCATCGGGGACGGGTAAAATTTCTGAGTTTCTTCGAGCCTTGGTTCCAATAAAATTGTATCGATTAAAAAGTTTTTGAACACGAAGAATTCAAAAAATCGCAATTAAAAAAGAACGAACGTAAAGGCAATTTTCCATAAAAATCATTTGTCATCTTTTAATAAACTTTAGTATTTTAAATTTTTAATCAAATTTAAATTAATTTAGGCTTTGTTCATTAATCTTGAAATTAAAATAATGATGTGTAATATAATCTTGACAAAATTTGCAGGTAAGCGTCTCATACAACAACGCCCCCTATAGTTCGTTGCGATCGCGAATTGAAAAGTTAGCAACGAGTGAGTAATTAAAAGCAGATTTTTGTTTACAAGCAGTTATTTCAAAGTAAGACAAAGTTAATAGTTTTATCGTTTGTTGACAAGTGAGTGAAAAATAATAATAGAGAGAATTCGCAGTTATACCTATCATTATGCATGTTCATGCACGTAAATTTTAAATAACTACACATTCTTGTTAATTAAGTTATGTTTTTTTGAACGTTTAAAGAGCGCATTTCACAGACACTGGTGCAGTTTCACTTTAGGTGCGCATGCGCAGTTACTTGAAACCTACGTATTGAGAATGTGAAGGATGATACGCAAAATTGAGAAATTTCTCAAATTAAAAGATGAGTTGTAAGAAAGGATAGTCTCATAACTCCAAAATAGTTTGTGAAAATATCCTGAAATCTGCACAGCCAGTGCAAAGAGTAATTTTAGCTTTAGCTCCAATTCTAAAAATCTTTCAAAAATTTTAATTGTTCTGCTCTGAAGGAATGTATGAAAAGCGAATTTTTCTCACAATATTAGCATTACACATTTTTGCCTTCAACTACAGACTTTTTCTTTCTTCTTTTTAATTATTTATACGAAAACCCCAGTCATTTTTGTAATCTTACAGCTCCATTTAATAAAAAACAAGTTTCACAGGGAATTTATGGCATGTTCTTTAATAGTTATTTTTCCTCCATTCCTTATGTCATAAGCTCAAGTACAATCAACGTGAATGTCGTGTGAAGAAAAGCGGGCACCAAAGCAGTATTTTGAATGCAATTTAATAATGAAACCTAGTATTTAATATTTGTCTACAGTTACACCCTTCAAACATATTCCTATAAATCTAAATTATGTAATGTCAACGGTACTTAAAATGAAATAAAAATTAACTTACGTACTACGCAACCAATAGGAACACGTTTCTATTGGGATAAGAATATGAATTGCCCAATAGGAATGGCGCAAACGACAATTGATATATTCCACTCAAGTGATACAGTTTATCCTCTGACTTAAACATCTCTATAGTTAATATTTTTATGGATGAGTGGAACTTTTAAAAATGGGGTTTGCGTAATAATGTTACCATAAAAATAAACAAATAATAATTGGTTTATATTTTTTAACTGTATCCATTAATGCCTTTCAAGTTTCCAGCATGATTTCGGGTTGAAAATACTACTGCTATTGAAAAAACATCGTAAGTGCTTCACAATAGGTTTCTAGAAAAGCGACTTGACAACTATTTTCTTTTTATTGCTAACGCAACGTGAAAGTAAATTTTAAATAAATTGTTTAAAAACTAATTTTTGAAAATATTTCCGGAAATATGTAGCTTAAAATGCCAAGTTTTAATGCTTAAAATGCCAAGTTTTAATGCTTAAAATACCAAGGCCAATTTATGGGAAAAACTATTATATGAAAAAAATTCCAATTTTAAAATTATTATTGCTTACGTTGATTTTTCTATTGCACGAAAGAATATTTACCTTATTTTATAAATGTCGTTGAACAGCAGACCCAATTTCTGGTATAGAATTATTTAGTGATTATTTCCAAATAATTTTTTCCTTTATACGAAGAAAACGGGTATGAAGCTATTAAAAAAACAACCAGTTTTAAGACGCCTATTACTTTAAAAAATAAAATGAAAAAATAAAAAAAACTTTCGACAGTTTGTCAGCTATTGGTTAAATAAGTGTGATCGATAGGTTTTAAATATACGTTCTAATTCTCTTTTTAACGAAATCCATAAAAACCAGTTTTTTGAAACAAACAAATTTTTTGATTTAATTTTCTGGCAAGTCAATTGAAATGAAGCAGAATATCATACATAAAATATATCATCTCTGATGTTATGCTTCTTCTCGTGTCTATATTTTATGAGCGGTGGATTAAAAGTTCCACTTTAAGAAGAAAAGAAACATGCGTGGTACTTCCAATGAACTAAAATATGTAAAATATTACTTATAGGCTGATTGTGGTATTGTCACTGAAACACACTTTTTCAATTTTGGTCTGTGAGACGTGATGGCTCAGGAGATACAGCGTTCGCCTACAAATGAGGTGAACCAGGTTCGAATCCCAGCAATGGCCGGTCGATACGAATTTCGCATCCGGTTTGTACCGATCACGGTGCTGACGTGAAATAGCCTCATTGGTAGACGGATCATGGGTTAGAGTCCCCTTGCCATCAGGCTAACCGCGGGAGGTTCTCGTGGTCTTCCTCTCCATGTAACGCAAATGCGGGTTAGTTCCACCAAAACGTCCTTCACGAAGGCAAATTTCTCCAAATACTTGGTCCTGGAGTTTCCTTGTCTTCTGAATTGGGTTTAAAATTACAAAGCTAATTACAAAGGTAGTCGTAAACTAAAAATTCGTTCAGCTGTTTAACGACGGCTATAAAAATAAAAAAATATGAAAATCTAAGTCTGAGCAGTGACAATTTAGTGACAATGTAATAATTAAAACGAAAGAACTTTTAATGTTAATAATCAATTTTAAAAGATTCAGTTAGTATTTAAAGATATGATTCATTAAAGGCACAGTGAAAATAAATGATCGGATCTTTACGTTCTAGGACCCAATTTAAATGATTCAAGAGGGTGACCTCCAGTATGCTAACAAGGTCTCAAATAAGGTAGAAAGGAAAATGAATAATGAATGTGAAGAATACACATGCGATTCTATCTTTATGTACTTAATCATTAAAAGGAAGACTTTACATTCGAAAAAGTAATTTAAAAAATTTTTACAATTTCACACGACGTTATTAAACTTCAATAAAATATTTTTTTTGGAAAATGAAAAAAAAAAAATATATATATATATATATATAATGTAAGAAAGACATTTGTAACATAAAAATCTGAAGACTTTGCAATTTAACGTTGCTTCTAGGATCTGAATCTATTTATTCTCTATTATTAAAGTAATGTACAATATTCAAAAGAATTCAAACAGACCACCCTGAATAACTTTTGATCTAATGATTGGATCTTCACGTTTTTCAGAACTCAATCTCAATGGTTTGAAGGGGTGACATCAAATATGCTAATTAATTACTGCAGATGATATTTTTAATTACGATGAATTAAGTCGATACGAATGCCGCATCGAGCTCGCACCGCAGTGCTAACGCAAAATATCCTCAGTGATAGATGGATCATAGGTTAGAGTCTCCTAGTCGTCAGGCTATCCGCGGGAGGTTTTCCTCTCCGTGTAACGTAAATGCGGGTTAGTTCCATCAAAAAAAGTCCTCCACGATGGCAAAATTTCTCCCAATAATTGATCCATGAGTTCCCTTGTCTTTTGGATTAGGTTCAAAATTACAAGGCTGCGGAATTGAACATACGTAGTCGTAAAACCAGAAAATTGGGTCGTCTGTTCAATGACGGTCATGAAATGTTCCCTAGGAAAACACTATGATTTGGTAATTTTGTAGTAATCAATAAGTTGCGCTTGCCACTTTTAAAATTTTACCTTACCACTGGTTGACCATCCACGTGATATATTACATATAAAAGAAATAAAAATTTTTACTTACAAAGTTTGAATATTGTGTAACGCATTGAAAGTTCCATTTGCTAGCGACTGGATATTGTTGTCATACAAGGACCTGTAAAAAATAATCAACTGAACTCAATACAGAAACAGAAAGAAGGAAATTCTGGTAAAATTAACGTACTTTAAGTAAAAGATATTTCTGGTACAAAAATTATTATTCTGGTAATAAAACCGAAATATACGGCATTTAAACCATTCGTATAGTAACTGTTTACCGAAAATTCCGGTTTTTAAAATTATGTTTCATATTACCAAACATTTAGTAAAAAATCTAAAAATAAAAAGAAAATTTTATCGAATAAATGGCTTTTATGCCATGCTCTAAGGTAGGGGTGCACAACCTGTGGCCCGCGGGCCAAATGCGGCCCTTCGACTACTGAAGTGCGGCCCGCGAGAGCTTCTAAACACAATTAAAAAAATTTTTTAAAAATGGCAATTTTTAATCGCACTTTTAAGTCATCACGTTTTGACACAATCAATTTTAACAGATTCTTTAGTAAATGTACGTTTAACGCGCTTTCTTGAAGCCGAATTTATCGTAAATATAAATGATTTTTTTTAAACAGTTATTTCCGCTTTTCTACGTAATTTTGAAAATTCCAAATTTTTATTGCGACGCGAGTTTCAGATCGCAAATTTAAATAATCACTTTTTGTGCACTTTATTTGTGACTGAGAATAATATTTCCTGGAAAACGCATTCATAAATTAACTCTAAAAAATAAGGCTAATCGAGAACGTTTTTGAAAATGTCGAAAAGCGAAACAGAAAACATAAAAATCAATCTTAATTTTTGAAAAATTTTCTTAAAGCTGAACATCTCAGTTTTTCAATTACCAGAAAAAGCCAAGAAAAAAGAATTAAGTCAACAGAAATGCTATTAAAAATTACTGCGTTATAATGAAAACGTCTAAAAAATCTTTTTTTTTT